ACCCCCCCCCCCCCCCCCCCACCCCATATTATTACATTAATGTTTGAGGACACCGGGCAAATTTCATTTTACTTTCACATGTAGAAATTATTTGTTGTAGATTTTCTGATTGAAGCACTCTAGTCAATATGTCTCTCCTAGCTAGCATTTTATCAGAATGTCATCATAATCAAATTTTAATTGTGTTCTCGTATTATAAATAGTGCCCTTAAGATGTCTGTAAAAGTAATTTATGTGAATATTCCCGCTTGTTCATATTTTAGCAATTTATAAACGAGACTTACGAAAACTTCATCCTAATAACTGTTCATAATGTTTGTTATAATTATGTGATTTTTTGCGGATTATGTTATGGGAAATTTGTTATATCAGAGTATATTTCATTGATTCAATGCTGTTTGTAATGTTTCCCTTTCATTTCTAGGTCTTAGATTTCACCGATCATGTTTGGACGGAGTGCTTCTCACCATATTTGAGAAGGTAAACTTTTCTCGTTGCTGATGCGTTGCCCTTATAATCTCTGCACTTACTATTATAGCGTCAGATGTTTATATTCATGCGACAAAACATATGCAGATGGATGCATCTTGATCCTTGTGAAGGAATATACGACAATCCACTACTGTATGAGAAAGGGTAAATATCTTAATTGACAGCTCTGTCCTTCGTTTAAATCTTTACGATCTTCGATTATCGACATGCGGTTTGGATCCTCGTATTTTCCAATCATATATACATGAATGCTCTGGTCACCACCTTAATATGAACCTCTAATTTTCCTTTGAAGCTGGAACAAGAAATTGGACTACGTAATTGCTTTAGCTAGAGATGGAGTTTATGATGTGATTAAGCGTTACACTAGGAAGTGGAATGAGGTACTCCTATCTTCAATATACGATTTGACGAAAACGTATCTCTAAATACTTAGTTCCAAGATTATTATTTTTTATTTTGTTAGGTGTTGTCTAGACGAGTCATAACTACCGAGCCAGCTCTGGCTAGTATAATAACTGATATAACAAGAGAACAACGTAAGAACTTCAACTCCGAGACGCTTTTAAAGCTTAGCGAGCGTGACAAGAGTGAAGCAGAAGAACTCGAGAGGAACTTGTTTTCGAAAGATGATGCTTCGATCTCGCTCCCTGGAAGGCAAAGTGGGGATAAGCAATGGCGAATATCACGATCAGAGTTTGGGTCTGACGAGCACTGCTCTTTGAGTTCCTCCTCTTGTCCAGTTCGCCAATGTGTAGACGAGCACGTGACAAAAATATACAATTCTTTTTCCCCTATCGTTCATCAATTAGTGGAGCAAGGATCTGATAAATCCACCGCAAAAGAACTTGTAGAGTTTTTCAAAAGGACTTTGGTTTCTCTAAGGAATACTCCTTTCAAAACCAGGAGAACTGCAGTAAATGCTGTGCCGACTGGTCCGTTGTTCAGTAAGATGCTTCCCTCGTTCGGTCAATTATTCGATGCCCTGTCGTTGAAGAGTGAGGTGGGTGTTAATGGGGCTATTTCTATATCTTTAGCTTCGGATCCTGTAAAAACTTCTTTGGCACTGCCTGTAGTTTTTCACGCGCTCGATGATTTGATCGTTAATCTGAATAGTTGTGATAAGTTGAACAAAGAAACTATATCTTGGCCACTTCTGAAGTTAAACAGAATATGTTCGGGTTTTGTACTTGCAAGCGGTGAGGAGCTTCCGTTTGGAATAGTAAGTAGCTTTTGTGACTTCTGAGTAGAACTTTTTTTTTTTTTTAATAAATCTTGATTTCTGTATCAACAATAATATTTCTTGTGTTCTTAAAAGTTCGATTTTCGTTTTTGGGAATAAATCAGGCTACATCGGCATTTGATGGAACTCGTATGTCAAAGTGGGAAGAACCAAATGGTGCAACAGGTATTGACGTATTTTCTCTTGGATGTATTTTTGATAGATGGAGTCTAGGAAATAAATTATCTTTTCTTTAGTTCTCTTAAAAAATATCAAGAAGAAAGAGGCATTTATGCACCACACTTTTCTAGATGCAAGTAATTTAGAAAAACTCTCGGTTCACCTTTGCTTTGTCGAACTCATGATTAAAAGAAGATTAGTGAATATATACCGATTTTCCCCTTCTCTACTCTAAATATTATGTAAAAAAATAATAAATAAATAAAAACCTTATGTTTACTTCATTGCCTTAACCTATATTGCATCATATAACAATGTGTTTGGTCATGTAGGCTGTTGGATCATTTATAAGGTGGTTGATAACGGCATGCACGAGCTAGTTACTTATGAATTGATGTCGGCAAATGATGCTCCCGAGAGAGATCCAACGGACTGGTACGATTTTTCTGGATTTTTTTTAATTATTTATTGTTAGGTGTTTTTCCTACTGCACGAATCCATTAACTAATGAAGTGAATCAAAGAGTCAAATACCGTAACAAATACCTCATATCCATGAACTAATTGAGTGTGTTGAGTCAAAATATACTTGTAGGATCCTTGAAGGAAGCGGAGATGGAGGCTCCAGCTGGCACATTTTGGATAAGCGGACCTCAGAGAAATTCGACAAACGATACCAGCGAAAAACATATCAAGTCAAATCCCAGTCGTTCTTGGCAAATGCCTTCAGGTCAAAGTTTGTCTGTCTCTAAACAGAATTATGATCGTTCAACTGATTCTGACAATTCGTGGTAATAAAATTTGCAGGTTTAGGTTTCAAGCAGTTAGAGATGTAAAATCGACTTCACGGTTTCAAATAGGTAGCATCGACCTCTACATGAAGGCAGATGGTGTTCCTAGTACAAAATAAAATACTAATCAAATTCAATTAAATCAAAAGAACTGCACCCTTTTCAACTTACTGTTTTCTCATAAAAATCAAAAAAATTCCAAGAAACTGACTTTTCCTGTATCGGGTGCTTGTTCGGTTGTTATCTGTATTCTGCCTTGTGATATTGTAACAAAATGCCATTTTACGGTTCATAACAAAAAATACTTTATCTCTCTA